TTTCAAAACTTGCGAAAACGTGGCCTGAGCAACGTTTACAATGACAGGACCAATATTGGCAAGTACAGGACTATATGAAAGTGCTCATAACTTTTTTATTTCTCAAATGATTCATCTGAAATTTGAAATATAATAAGCCTGATAATTGAGTACTTTTTATACCCCCAGAACGAATTGAAAGATATAAAAGTGAAGAAATTAAAGTTTAAAATTGCAAAAGTTGTTGTCGCATAAAAAAAGAGGTCCCAATATTTTCAATTTTGTTAGAATATTATACAACAGCATTAACATTCTGTTCTTTTTGTCCCTAAGAATGAATAGTTTTACACAAATTGAGCGCTCCAATCTAATTAAAATTAAATCTCCGCACTTGCTCCTCGTTGTTTATATGTGGCGCGTGGGAGATCTAACAACAGCCGCTTGAGGGTCATGTCTAGGGTCAAATTTGCTGTAGCCAATCAGCGAAGGTGCTACAAACTGTTAGGGTATTGGACTGGCATAGGAGTCTTAGTAGCGTCTAGAGGTCTTCCGAATGTATATAAACAAAAATGGCAGCCCCATGCGAAAAACGTTTCGTAACATACAACTGTAATAATAGTTTGTATTATTGCCTTCCGAGGTTAAAATGGCATCAAGTGAAGTATGCACCCCAAGGAAAATATCAGTAAGAACAAACATTTGTGTTTTATGCGGTTTTTCTTTCATCCAGATAGAAATCTCCTCAACGGGAGAACGTGTTGAAAAAAACCGTTCAAACTGAAACTTCAGCAGAACTCAGAGAGAATCGCAATAATTTCTAGTGTTGTTATTTGTTTTGAAGAAAACGCCGAAGTAGACAAGGACAATGGCGTCTGTATTAAATGTTTTAGAAAAGTCCAACAGTCAATCAAATTAAAGAAAGATGCATTAAAAATGCAAAAAAAACTAAGTGACTAACTTCGGGTGTCTTACCACCTGACCAATCAGAAAGATTAATTGCTAATAGATTTGTAAATCTGCAAGGTGGAACAAACAATAATATAAGCTTAGATAAATACTTAGAGATGTTGAACAAGGATACAAAAGTAACATGTTCAGGACATCAGACAAAGGAAAGTATCCTTCAACACTCTAAAGAGTATCCTCACCTAGTTAATTTTGGAAGCCATTTTGATAACATTACCAATTTAACAGTAAAGAAGGGGTTCCACCATATACCGTCATACCAAGCTGATGTTCAGAAAATTGCAAAAGACCTACTACAAGAAAATGTACTTACATATAAAACTTCAAGAATAATTAAATGCTAGGAGCTAACAAAAGACAAAAACCCATTTGACAGTGCATTTATAGGACTTCGTACATTGATTCATCGACATCAACCAACAGTCCCCTTCCATCGCCTTCGAAACCCACATATTTGAAAAATATTGCTTGGAATTAAATTATTGTGAATAAAGTGTGCAGGTTTAATTTTCTCTTAAGTCATAATCTTAATTAGCTGGTACTTTTTTTAGTAGTTTGTTGCTGATATTAAAAAAAATGTGTGTCATAAGTCAATGAGACATCAACCCAACAACAAAGTAATGAAATACTTTCAGTTTAGTTGCAGAATATTATGGTCATTTTGATTAGGCAGCATAACTACCTACACAAACATGTTTATAAAAATGTGGCATGATTTCTAATGAGACAACTTTTCAAAAGGAACCAACTTATTTTTCTGTATTAAAGTTCACAGTTCCACCTCTGACTTTGAGTAAAACCTATAGCAAGCTGTACAAAGGCCCGAAATGACTTTATGAAAACAGCAAGCACGTTTGTACAAAACAACAATGAGATAAAAACCAAACTTTTACAGATTTGTTCACAAGGCGACCAGCATGCGGATATTTACCCTATATGTACATGTAAAGAGTTGTTGATAAAACTTATAAAAGGTGGTGTTGGTTAAATGTGCTTTCCTGAGTGATGAAGTTATTAGTGCACATTATTTAGTTCAATTTATATCTTAGTCGAATTAAACACAGTAACTTAATATAATAAAATGCTCCGCTGGGCGGAGCTTGATACGACCGCAGAGGTCGAACCCTGAACAGTCGGGGCAAGTATGGACACAACATTCAAGCTTGATACAGCACTGAATTTGGATTGTGATTAAATATTTGACACAGCATAGGTTTCTGACACAGAATGAATGTGGTCTAAGAACTTATAAATTTTTAATTTACCTATTCAAACCATATCATTATAATTTGCTTTTATATATAAATCAAAAATAACAAATTTAAAATGGAAAATTTTAAAGAAAAAAAAGGAAAAAAAAAAATTCCCCCCACCCAAATTTTTGAACCCTCCTTATGATTCATCAACCCCAAACTCAATCCCAGCCTTCCCTTTGTGGTATGGTACCTTGATGTACAATTACAGAGAGATCCATACACTTGAACACAAGTTATTGACTGGAAACTAGAAAAATGCTTGTTTTTTGGCCCCTTTTTGGTTCAAAATTCCTAAACATTTAGGGAAATTACCCCCAAACTCAAACCCAGTTTTCCCTTTGAGATATGGAACCTTGTAGTACAATTTCAGAAAGATCCATACACTTATACACAAGTAATTGTAATGAAACTTGAAAAATGCTTGTTTTTGGCCCCTAATTACTAAAATTTTGAGGCAATTACCCCCAAAATCAATCCCAGCCTTCCCTTTGTGATATGGAACCTTGTGGTACAATGTCAGAGAGATCCATAAACTAACACACAAGTAATGTCTGGAACTTACAAAAATGCTTATTTTTGGCCCCTAATTCCTGAACTGTTGGTACCATAACCCCCAAAATCAATTCCCACCTTCCTTTTGTGGTATTGAACCGTATGGTAAAATTTCATGGAGATCCATTCACTTAAACTCAAGTTAGAGTGCGAAAAACCAATGTGTCTTCGGACGACAACGACGACGCCAACGTCATACCAATATACGACCGCAAAATTTTTTTGTGGTCGTATAAAAAAGAAGTGGTATTAAGTCTATAGTTGACTGTTTTCTTGATGAACACATTGGTCTTGAACAAAGTTGTAAGTAAGATATAGTCCCACTGCATGTTATTGTCTTGAATATGCATGAAATATTTGCCACTGAAACCCAAGTGAAGAAATCAATAATCAATCAACCTGTCAATGTTTATTTTGAGCAAAAATAATCATCCTCTATGTATACTGTTGGCTACATCAAGTTAAATACAATGAGTTTGCTATAAAGAACAAATATTACATCATCAAGAACAATGAACAAAAAGGTCAATGTCATACATGTCATATGAACCATGCCAAAACTTAGCACAAAAGTACATACATCAATAGCAATAATTCTATACACCAAAGATAGTTGACTTGTTGATCAATAAACCATGAAAAGTCAAGGTCAGAAACCAACCAGACTGATTTTTATAGTTCGTTCCTGTGTTGTACTGTTACACCACTGTCCCAGGTTAGGATCCTGATAACATGTTTAAACCCGCCACATTCTGTATGTATGTATCTGTCCTAAGTCAGGAGCCTGTAATTCAGTGGTTGTCGTTTGTTTATGTGTTACATATTTGTTTTTCGTTCATTTTTTGTACATAAATTAGGCCGTTAGTTTTCTTGTTTGAATTGTTTTACATTTGTCATTTCAGGGCCTTTTATAGCTGACTATGCGGTATCGGCTTTGCTCATTGTTGAAGGCCGTACAGTGACCTATAGTTGTTAATTTCTGTGTCATTTGGTCTCTTGTGGAGAGTTGTCTCATCATGCTCATTGGCTATCATACCACATCTTCTTTTCGATATAACATGTACATCTTACAATAATTCCACACCAAATATATTTTTCTGTTTGTTTATCATGTTTATAGTAATCGAGAAGCAGACTTGACCCCGAATATATGCTTGTTTCATGAAATGAGGTCAAGATTAGGCGAATATGCAACCATATCTGACAGACATGACAGACATGGCAGACATGGTTTTCTCTCTCGAATTTTTTCGTATTTTTCTGGTCGGGGCCTTTTGTAGCCGACTAAAGGCATGGGTTTTTCTCGTTGTACTACAATTGCTTATATCAAGTTATTGAAAAGTCTGGAGGGTAGTTGTCTGATTGGCAATCATACCGCATCTCTTTTTTTTTCAGACGATTGATTGATTGATTGTTGTTTGCTTAACGTCCAGTGGCAAATATTTCATGCATATTCAGGACGAGAACAAATTAACAATAAATACAATAGGTAGGTTCTGTAATAGGGGCGTCCGGGATTAAGGTCGGAGAAATTTAGACTGCCACGGGAAATGAGGGTATATTCGATAGGGACAGAAATTTAGCTTGGCAACAGGTCGCCTACGGACCCCTCAAAGAGTTATTGTAAGGGTTCTTAACGTGCAAAGAGCGTGGCACTCTCTTTACATGAGGCATCGGATTTAACGTCCCCATTCTGACCGGACGTGGCTGTAAATTTGTACATCCGCACAGCCAAGACGGACGCCCAACTTTGGCGAGGGTTTTACTGCCGGTCGGAGGAAGACCAATGGTGACCATACTTCTATTCCCCAGTCACCCTTGGGGGATTTTTAAGATGAAAACTAGTAAATATCTTATGATGTGTGTCTCATTTGTTTTTATATGCTACATATCTTTTTAGTCACATTGACAGCTGCAGGCATGACATGAACCCAGATCTAGAGTGGCAATACAGCAATTGTAAGGGGGTTAAAAGTCAAAAAAATTTAAAGAGTCTAAAGTTGAATAAGTTACAGAAACCAGATACTGAAAAATTAAATAAATAAATATCAACTGTTTTAATCATCTTGTATTTCTAATAAAGCCATATCAAGATCTTTTAAGTATTCATAGGCCGACAAATTGTAGTCTTCAGTATCGCTATCTGATACAGCAGAATCTTCTTGCTCCTCGAGCTCCTCAACAACTTGTTCTGACAGAAATAACTTTTCAAGAGGTAATATATCACAGGATTCACAATTACAAGACTTAGCACACAAGTCACAGCATGAATGTTTCCTGCTTTCTTTCTTCATCAAATCATCCAAGTCTGAATTTCTGAGGAAATTACACATCAGATCCTTTCTCCTACATTCTTTAGCTGTAAGAATTGCCTTAATTTCCGGTTTCAACTTCTGCACGTGGTATCCATTGTATAGGATAATGGCAACTGATGGATTTCCATCCCTCCCTACTCGCCCTATTTCTTGCAGCAAATCTACCAGATTATTTGGAGGTCCAAATAATACCACTCCACTACACTTTTTTTTACATCTAAACCCATTCCCAGGGCACTGGTTGACAAAATAAGTCTCAAAACACTACTTTCCTCCTTCAATGCATTAATTATAATGTTTTTGTTAACATCTGGAGTTTCAGAATGGAACATCTCAATATACTTGGCACAATGTGGCAATTCTGTTACAATGTATTTATAAAGTTTGGAAGTGTCATTTATCGATGAACAATACAAAAGTGTACGTGGGAAGTACTGTCTTTTTTCCTCTAATGCATCTACTAACCATGTCATTCCCATTTCAATTTCATTTTTAATTTTGTTTAGTTTAATATTAGACTTGTTTGGTGATAAATTAATTTCTGTTGTGTCCTCCGCTAGCTGCAATATTTTCATGATCTTTTTCCTAAAGCTTACAGTGTAAGTTTCACTTAAAGCCAATACTGTAGCATCGGGAAAGAGGGATCTTAGTTCACCTGCATTTGAAAACCATTTTCGGAAAGCCTCTTCTCTGTCTCCTTCATCTTGGCCCCTGAAAGAAAAATAGAAATAAGTACATCTATAAAAACTTTTATAAAAGGTAAATATCAGCACCTCTTGCCTGGTTTGTTAATTCTTATGGCAAAACAAAAATAAATACATGTATGTGCATGTCCATATTGTTATGTAACAGCCTATCATTCAGTGGTTGTTGTTGGTTGCTGTCTAGCACATTTGTTTAGGGTTTTATTTTTCATACATTCTTATAATTACATTGTTATGGTTCAACATTTTGCAAGTAGTGGTCTTAAAAGAGCTTACTTTTTAGTATTAGGTTGTCTCGTTCTTGAAAGCTGTACAGTTCTGTACCAGTGGTCTTAATTTTTTACTTCTATATTTTTGAAAATCTAAAATTCATAAAAATGGGAAGGAGTACACATCAATATATAGAAACAATTCATCAAAGTTTCATGCAAATTTGTTGAATAGTTTTTGAATTACTGTCTGACATGTTGACGATTGACAGACAGTCACAGGTTAGGGGAGGGTTGGGATCCCGCTAACATGTTTAACCCTGCCACATTCTGTATAGTGCCTGTCCCAAGTCAGGAGCCTGTAATTCAGTAGTTGTCATTTGTTTATGTGTTACATATTTGTTTTTTCGTTCATATTTTTGTGCATAAATTAGGCCGTTTTTTTTTTTCTCGTTTGAATTGTTTTACATTGACATTTCATGGCCTTTGATAGCTGACTATGCGGTATGGGCTTTGCTCATTGATGAAGGCCGTACGGTGACCTATAGTTGTTTATTTCTGTGTCATTTGGTCTCTTGTGAATAGTTCTCATTGGCAATCCTACCACTATTCTTTTTACATAGACAACGGTATACCATAATACGTCCTGTAAATGTGTGAATAGAAATGAACATGGGGAATAAACATTGTATCCACTTACCAAATTGCTATTGTGTGAAACTCATCAATTACAATCAACTTAATGTTCAACTTCTTTAAACAAGTTCTCCAATAGGGATCACCAACCAATGTTTCTGGAGATGCAAAAATGTCATCTATCAACCCCTCTTTGATTCGATCGTCACTCTGGGGGAGATGATCCTAAAATGCAAAAAAAAAATGTAGGTTGGCAGTTTCCAAACAGACATATTTCTATGATAACTTTTATAATTTAAATGTACACTGTACAAATACCCTTTCTCCATTTCACTGCGTTTGATTAAAGATTGAAATTCAATGAAATAATTCTTATTGTTGTAAAGTCCAATACAGTAATGAATATAGCTGAGATTTCAATGAATGCATGGCATATTTTCTCGATTTTGAGATATTTCTGCCAAATTACCTGTTTGGCTATCCAACAAGGTCATTTAGACTGCACTTTTTCATATTTTTTTTTATTTTTTCATTGTTAAACACAAATTACAATCTAATTTAAAAATTAAGTTTCCCGCACGTTTCTGGGCCATGTAAAGCTGACTATGCTGTATGATTTTGCTCATTGTTGAAGGTCTGATGGTGACCTATAGTTGTAAACTTTGTCATTTGTTGTCTGGTGGAGAGTTGAGTTGGCAATTATACTTCAAGTCTTGTACATGTACGACATCTTCGTATTCTTATATGCATGTGTATTTGTTTTGAGATAGATTATTAGTACATGTAATTAACAACATCCTTTTGGACTCTGGTGCTTCATTAATACAACATGTAGTATATATCTTCATACAAAGTATGAAAAACTAGCATTATGGCCAAAACGACTGTAAAATACTGGCAATATGACCGATACAATCTGTTCTCGGTGAAATGAGACAAATGTGCTACCATGGCTACGATCTACTGCTTCTGCAGTTTTTTTTTAACTTTGCTCATGTATATCTAAGTTTCATATTACTGCTATGTTACTGTTAGTCATGTGTATGTGTTGATTTACTGAAGTTTAAATGTATGTTCCTGCAAATAAATTTTATTTTATTTGATAAAGCATACATGTACATCTTTGCCTGGTCAGATGCGGATCCAGGACAATGGAAAAGGGGGCCCTGCATCTAGGCACCATAAGGTGTGGGAATAACGTCTTAAGACAGAGGCATTGCATTAATTATATACGTAGCTCCAACAGTATAGGCGGATCAAGGGGGGTCTGGGCCCCCTTTTGTGGGAAAAATTTAGTTGATTATATAGGGAATCACTGAGGCATGACTGGAGCGGGCCCCCTCTTAGGTTAGTCAGTGGGCCCCCCTACAAAAAGTTCTGGATCCGCCACTGTACAGGGGGATAACATGTCACCCCTAACTGATTTATCAGGTGTTATAAACATCTTTATTATACAACATTGCCAACATAATAATTATAATATAAATTAGGTATTTAATGGCATTAAAAACTATAGTATAGACTATTCCATTTATTGAAGCCTTACTACCACTGCATGCTTAAAGTTATACTAACCTTTGTATGCAGCAGTAATATTTCCAATGTGCGAGAGTTTTCCCACCTGGTCCTGCATCAGAGCTACTAAGGGACAACAGACTCAAACTTTCCAGTCAGAACTGTTGTTAATAACCTCCCGGACAACTGGAAGGTACAGTTGAAACGGCAGTGACTTGCCAAAACCAGTCGGGAGTACAGCCACGCAGTTCTTCTTGATAACTAAACACTCTAAAATTTCCTTTTGCTCCTTCTTTATATCATTTCTGGAAAGAAAACTGAGAAAGATCAGGACAAGGAAAACCCGTCAACATCAGGTAACTGAATGAAATCTTTGAATCTGCTTATTTAAAGCTCACCTTACCCAAGGGATAACGTGAGCTATTGTCATCACTTGGCAATAGTCCGTTTTCAATTGCAGAAAATCCTGATGTAAATAATCTAAAAAAAATAACCCAGTCATATGCAACAACAAAAAAAGAACTTAAGTGAAGACAAAGCAGGTAAACAAGATTTTAAATAATATTGAGAATGGAAACAGGGAATGCTTCAAAGAGACAACAACCCGATCTAAGAGCAGAAATACCCCAAGGCCACCAATACACCTACTCGCTATTTATTCCATTCCGTATAAGTTCTAAAATTACACAACTTTTTCATCCAGTTGAAGCTATCTGGGGCCCTGTTTAAATAATGCACCATGCGTGATACTTTTTAATGAGATCTGTTTAAAACATCGTAAATACTTCAAACAAAATATTTTTTGACAATAATTTGAGTTTCAAAAAGTGGATCATAATCTATCAAAGTTTCGTATTGATTGCTTTCTAAATTTTCCCTCCCTCAGCTCGTTACTGATGACCTTTGTTGTTTACCTGTTCAAGGCCTGTTGACCCAAACAGGAAGTTGTCTAAATGACTCTTTTTTTTCCGGATTGGACTAAAAAGCGATAAGGTGTATGGGCAAACCATAAGAAAATCCCGCACCCTGAGGCGGCCGCCTGCTGGCTCTTTAATGTAAATTATTATTGTTATTCAAAATGTTGAAAGGATAATGAAATCGCAGACATTTGACAAATATGATTTCCTTTTTAAGAAAGCTGAGTATAGAACTGAGATTATCAATAAAAAATTGAACTTGCCTGATTTTGTTTAAGCATTTAAATTCTTGCCTATACTACAAAAGTTCATAACTGCCGAAACTTGATAAAATCTTTTATGAAATTTGAGGATTTCAGATATCTTGGTTATAATATTTTCAAGTAATAACACATATTGAATATGAATTTACTTGTGGTTTCTATTTTACTCAAAAAAAAATTATAAGGCAGTGAAATTTCAGTGGCTAGGACACCTATGGAAACTGCAAAATTTCTTGAAGAGGACAGAAAGACCGAAAAATTTACTATTATTCTAAAAAACTACCTCATAAAAAACACCCAAGTTGTTATGCGACTATTTTAGGTAAAATTGCAACATCAGGTTCTGATGATGGGCTGGAAATTATTGAAGTACTGCAGCATGATGCCAAAAAAGCTGTCACAGAAACGATTCTGTCTATGAGGAATGGCAATGTCAAGGCTAAATCAGAGTCACCAACAGAAGCTGATAAAACACAAAATAAAGAACCATCTTCTAAAGTGTCTGCCCCTTTGTTAGGTAACTGTGAAAGTGAACCTGAAAATAACAATCAACAAAGTAATATGCCTAGTAACACTATCTCTAGCTTACGTAACAGTGCTTCTCAACTTGTACCCAAACCAATTAATGCTACCTCTAGTCCTTGTACACAAGCTCAAACTTTACAATCTTCTGCTTTTACCTATGCACAGCCAACAGCTTCGCTAAACACATTCTCCCCCTCATTTTCAGCAATCACACCAACCTTCCTCCCACTAATCCTATACTAACCCTTCTTTTAATTCTAATTTTTCTGCATACAATTTTCCTTCATACAGTAACCATTCTACCAACTAAACTAACAGCTCAACTCTACAAAGACCAGTACCAGAGTACACATCTACCCTCATTAATAGAGCATATAACACTATATATGAGGACAAGTCCACAGTAGTTAGAACACCCACACCACCAAATACAAACTTATGCCACACGAAATAGTTCAACTCAAAAATAGGGTGGATCAACTTGAAAAGGAATTTGAAAAAAGGAATAAGAGGGTTTGGTTTTTAACACTTATATCCACATAAACAGACTAGTGTACTCCACATATACTAACTAGTGTACTTATTGTATCATATAAAAAAATTCTACTCATTTCAATCCATACCTGTCTGATTAAGTTGGATCTATATAAATGTAATTATCTTTAGAAAATCCATTTTAACTCATCTGACCCTCATGTCAAGTGAGCTTTTCACATTATTTGGCATCTGTTGTCTGTAAACTTTTAAAAAAAATCTTCTATTCTGTCAGACAATACTGGGCTAAATGGCCAACTTACAGCAAATTTCTGTTTAGTGAACTGTTACAATAAGTGATATCAAATTTTGAACAACAACTGTGATTTAGTTTCTTCTTGTTGACTTTTAATAACCATAATTGTTATGCCCCCGTGGTAACTAGGAGTATAGGGACTCTATCCTTGATAAAAATGGCTTACGGCACTTAGATCATATTGTAATACAATTTTTACACAAAAACATAAATTTTGAGAATTTCAAAAACAGAAAAGATTAAAAGTGTTAAAATTTATTTTATTATTATTTCATTATGTTGCAGAAACATTCCCAGCAAATTCAGTGCCAATTTCAGAAGGCGGAGCAGAAGTTTTTGGGAAGTCAATGGTAAGTTTATATTATGTCTGGCATTCAGTACTCCTTTGTTAACTCAATCATTATATTTAAATTCCAATATGACTAGAATTTTCACTTAAGTTACTTTTATTCAGGAAATGCAATATTTGTTTTCATCACAACAAAAATATACTACAACAATCATGACTAATGATATTTCCTAAAATAAGAGGAAATATATAATAGTGTTGTATAGGATTTGTATTGTATGCTTCTAACATGCGTTTGAAACAATGTTAAATATTATTCCCTCCGTTGAAACCTACCAGAAAAATTAAAAACAAAAAACAAAGAGGCCAAACAAAACATAACTGTATTATGCATGTAATTATAAAAGAATTATATACAGATGCATCAATCGCAGGCCAGAATATTGATCCCGACCCATAGGGATTTATTTTAGCCTTGCCAAGCTAAGCAAGCGTTATGTTTGTCTTTCAAACTTCCAGTAGTAGTTTGAGTCGAACTTACAGGTATCTAGAAATATTTCCTTTGTGCGACTGACTCAGATAACAATATAGAGTTTATTGTATACATGTAGTTCAATTCCAAATAGGAAGTTTTTAATATAAAAAGTTAAATAACAGAAATACCAATCCTGAAGGAAAATTCAAAACAGAAATTCCATTATCAAATGGCAAATTCAAACGATCTAAGTAAATGATTTAATATAATAATTTTGATGCACACGATATTTATATTTCATCAGTTGTGCTCAAGGCAGAAAAATATTAAAAATCATAACCCTGAAACTAGCCTTATTTACAGACCTACTTTTCATATGCAGATAAAAACCATGTGTTACTCCCATGTTTGAAATTGATACTACAGTTTTGCTAATTGTAATTTCTGAAGTAACAACACATATGATGCTGCAATGTTTCAGTCAATATCGGGTGTGTACTTGTTATAATATTTGCAGGAAGATTGGGAAGAATTTGTCAAAGCCCCAACATTGGAAGAAAGCGTCAAGAAAACATTATTTGCTGTATTTTCAACTGATGAACTTAAAACTTGCTCCCTGATGGGCACAAAAAACATCAAATCAGGAAATAAAGAAGGATTAAACCCTGAAAAGAGGACCTTTGTAGAAAGAAAGTGACATGAAATGATTAAAATCTTCAGTACATTTAAATAATATGCTTTTAATAACTTTTAATCAATAATCTTTTAAAAAATTTAATCAAAAGAAAAATGCAAAATATTCAACTGTGAGAAAACTTCCAAAAGATGCTCTAAGCATTGCAGCAATATCTCATGATATATTTTAAAGTCAATGAATGAATGGGTTAAATTTTCCCAGTCAAATGAGCCTCCTCATGGGGTTTTTGATTATGTGATTACTTTGCCGTTTTCGTAGTGATTATTTGATAATCAAGGACTGTATTTTTGATTATTTGATTGTCTTGTTTTAAAATGAAAAGAGGACCTTTGTAGAAAGAAAGTGACATGAAATGATTAAAATCTTCAGTGCATTTAAATAATATGCTTTTAATAACTTTTGATCAATAATCTTTTAAAAAATTTAATCAAAAGAAAAATGCAAAATATTCAACTGTGAGAAAACTCCCAAAAGATGCTCTAAGCATTGCAGCAATATCTCATGATATATTTTAAAGTCAATGAATGAATGGGTTAAATTTTCCCAGTCAAATGAGCCTCCTCATGGGGGTTTTGATTATGTGATTACTTTGCCGTTTTCGTAGTGATTATTTGATTGATTGATTGATTGTTGGTTGCTTAACGTCCAGTGGCAAATATTTCATGCATATTCAGGACGAGAACAAATTAACAATAAATACAATAGGTAGGTTCTGTAATAGGGGCTTCCGGGATTAAGGTCGGAGAAATTTAGACTGCCACGGGAAACGAGGGTATAATGGATAGGGACAGAAATTTAGCCTTGCAACAGGTCACCTACGGACCCCTCAAAGAGTTGTTGCAAGGGTTCTTTACGTGCAAAGAGCGTGGCACTCTCTTTACACGAGGCATCGGATTTAACGTCCCCATTCTGACCGGACGTGCCTGCAAATTTGTACATCCCGCACAACCAAACGGACGCCCCACTTTAGCAAGGGTTTTACTGCCGGTCGGAAGAAGACCAATGGTGACCATACTTCTATTCCCCAGTCACCCTTGGGGGTCTTGTTTTTAAAAATAATTAATGATTATGTGATTATATTGGCAAACAATTTGTGATTATGTGATTACTTGCATAAGGGGCCTCACAAATGTCAGGGTACATGTTGACACAAAATATATATATATTTATTCAAATAAAGA